TTTCGTACTGACACGATGTACTCCGGGATTCTTCTTTTCATCACATGATCAAAGAATGCAGATTGTCTCTTTCTGATGTGGGCGATCAGTTCTCTCCCTGAGTCAGTTTCTGTCAAGACGTCTTCATTACCTTTTTTTTTTTTATCTCTCCAGGGTATTCTCATCATTCGTCTATAAAATCACCTCTCCGCAGCTTCCAAATAAGTTTTCACCAATTTACTAAATGTTCATGATTCACTTCCGTATATCACGATAGGATTTATATAGCTTTACAGAATTCTCTTTTTTCGTCTCAATTGACAAAGTTAGATTGCACCAAAAAAAAAAAAAAAATAAATAAATAAAATGTTTTTCATTTTATACAATGCTGCCTTTGCTTGAGCTTTACAACATTTCACTTCTTTAGTACATCTTTCTTCTGATATTATCAGGGTACCCAAATACTTTAAAAGAACTTTCTTGAGTTTTGTCCCATTTGCTTTGATGTTGTGTTTTGGAGGGTCCGTAACGGATCATCATAATCATGTAGCATGTCCTTTGCAAAACGTCGCTCTCCTTACGGTCTGCCTGAAAGAACCTCGGTCTTTCGCCAGCTCTCCCGCCTCATGTACTTTCATACTCAAGGGGTCACTTATAAAGTTATATCCTGTACCCATCTTCGTGTTGGTCGTAAAGGAAACACAACTGATTTAACGTTAGCAACAATTGGCATCAATGAGGTGGCATTTTAGCCATCTTTAGCCATTTTCATGGCAGTTTTAGCTCAAAATAACAATCTTTGACCCAAAAGAGGGGGTATTAAATGGGCGGTATCATGGCGGACAATAAGGCGGGTTTTCTGGGAGCTTACTTTTTAATCTTCGGTTTTTTATGTCACGTACAGTACAACTGCTATAAAATATAACTTTATAGTTTTGCCTGCTAATGGGAATGTAATAACTGCCGAAGTGGTGTTACAGATTTGTGTAATTGTTCACTGCAGTGTAATATGCTCTTCTAGGGGTATGTTTATATTAAGTTGGTTGCTTTTATTCGTTGAATCGCCAATTATCGCGTACATACATTCTCGCTTCCTCGTGCTCGTCTTGCTTGGCTGAATCTAGCGACTTGGTCGGACTTCTCACACACTACAGGAATTCATCAGCGTCTCTCGAACCATCCATCTATCCTTCACGAACCCTGGTACCTGACATTACGACGTGTGGAAAAACATTCAGTCCTCCTATTGAAATATAACATTCGTCTCACAAATCATTTATTCTTCTCAGGCGTCCACTCATGCGTCCTCTCTCAGTCAGGGCCGAACCCAACTGTCTTACTCCTGTCTCTCGGCTCACGTCTTCCGTTCGCATCTCATGCTTTTCTTGTGTCCCTCACTTCGTTCACCATAAGACACACGAGACCCACTTATCCCGTTTTTCTCTTCTCTCACTGGTCCTCCGACCTTTTTCCTCCCCATATCTCTGGGATTTCCCCGGGAATTCACAACATTACAATCTCCCCCTCCCTTCTAGTAAAAAAATAACTGTCGCTAGCTGGAAGGCGACGGTCGCTTAGTCGCAGTTCACTCCCTTGGCTGCAGTGCAAATATGGAGTGGACAAGTCACGAATCAAAAACAATGACGTCGCGCACAGTGACATACACACCCAAACAATTGAAGGACTGTGGATGCTACTCAAACGGACAATTCGCTATCAATTGGGCACTAGCCGCTCGCTATTGCCGTCATATTTAGGAGAATTCCAGTGGCGCCACCCCCACAAGCAGCACATTGTCGGCCATTATTTGGAACTCCTGCGTCAAAATTTTCACATATAGCGGTCATTATTATGTGTAAGTACTCGACGCTACATGTGTTACCCTAACCCAAACCCTAATCCAAATCCAAACCCTAGCCTAACCCTAAGCAACTGTAGCATTACAGGTAAGTATGTCATTTGTTTCGTTCCCTCTTTACCACTCCGTATTTGCACTGCAGCCAAGGGAGTGAACTCCGACTAAGCGACCCTTCGCCTTCCAGCTAGCGACCGTTATTTAAAGGAGAGCCCAAGGATTTTGTTCATACGGATGATACGGTTGTCAATTAATAACTGGGTTATAAAATTTTGAACTCTGAACAAGAATTACAGCTTTACTAGAGACATTACATTAGCAGGACAGTCTGAATATGGACTAGAAAGGACTTTATACTTCTTTTTCGTGTTCACCGGTTGTAAACTCCGGCGGAAAGTTTTGATTGTTCGTCCACTTCTGGACTTTAGTCTTGTTCGAAAACCTGAGTGTTGCGTGCACAGATCTCGCTGATTTGTTTGCAGACTGTTGGCCCCTTGCTTGCCTCTCAGGCAGATGCACTTCCTACTTCACAGGAAACATCTCTAATTAATTAGTAGATTTTTACAACACGCTTTTTAGAGGGCAGGGGGTCTATCCCCCTCATCCTCTCATTGGCAGTGTACGGACATCTATGACATACAAGGACATTAAAACGTAAAATAAAATGTTACTGTTGGTCATATGTATTTTTTATATTTTGCTTCATATGGTAATTTTTACTTTGCTTCTTTCACATTTTAACAGGTTATTTTACGAAGTTTCTATCGAAGTTCAGCATCCTGGAGGGTGAGAATAGGTAAAAACACATTTTCACTCTTTCTGTCCCCTGGGGTGCATAGTGTTTGATAGATTCCTCCACATATATCCTGTCCATCACAAAATATATTATCGTGTTTCATTCATTTGGTCAGTGCTCACTAAAGAAGTCGGGCTTCCCCAGCAGCCACTTTGGCTGTTCCTTTGCCATCCTTTAAGTTAATGTGTTCATTATTTTTCATAGTAGTTATTTCACCTGTTTGGTATACTTGGGTGGAATTTTACTCAATCGAACTCAGAATTAATAGAGCATGAGGCTAACACCTTAACCACAGCACACATTATTTTTACATCATCATCATTATCAGGTGCTCTGCCGACTGGCGTGGGCGATCATGCCTCTCCACAATCCACGATCTCCTGCAGCATGTAACAGTTCGTGTGCAGACACACCTCCATGCTATGCAACAAGACATTCAAGAATCTTCTCTCATTGTCTCCCTCTATCCCTCCTTCCACAGATCTTTCCAGTGGTCACAACATGTTCCACTTTCCCTCTTCTCATAACATGGCCGAAAAATGATGACTGTCTCCTTCTGATGTCTGTGATAAGTTGTCTTCGGGCTCCCGTCTCTGTCCAAGGTACTTGAAGCACTCTTCTGTAAAACCACGTGTCTGAGACCTCAAGAAATTGTTTGGCCTGCCTACCGATTGTCCAGGATTCTCAGCCATATGTTAAAACTGGATGTATGTAGCAGGCAAGAATTATTTTTCTAAGCTTCAGTGACAGAGATATATTGCATAAGATGTTCTTCATTTTATAAAAGGCAGTTTTAACCTGTCCTTTTCTGTTTCTTATCTCAGCAATGCATCTTCCATCTGATGTTATCCTTGTGCCCAGATACGATTCTTCTCTTTGATACCACCATTACTTCTGTTTTTCCATTATTCAGACTGAGGCCTATTGTTCCACTTTTTACAACCACAATGTCTATCAATTCCTGTAGTTCTTTCTGACTTGTTGCTATCAAAATTGTGTCATCAGCATAACGTAAATTATTTATTTTATGCCCACCAACAACAATTCCGGGCATATCAATTGAAGATCTCATTATTTATTCACTGTGTAGTGAAAATAAATCAGGTGACAGTACACATCCTTGTCGTACGCCCTTCTTTATGCACTGAAATGTACCTAAACAGATGTTAATTTTTATTTTACATACACACTACTAAACCAGTATAGTCAAAAGGTTAATGCAGCATTTCTGTTTCTTTAAAATTTGAGACTCAATAATATATTTATTTCTTTTGAATTTTTGTTTCAAAAAATATGTTTGCTGTTTCTATGCTTTTCAGCCTTGGCAATAAAAGGCATCAAATATGAATATTTGGCTGTAGATTTATTCAAAGATGGCGGACAACAGGTTTGAAATTTTTTTTGTAAGGACTAAATGTATCTGTTTCAATTATTATAGTTTATGTGTAGTGTCTTAAAGCTAATTTCATTATATGTGCTCACCATTTAGAGGTTCCTTACGCCTACAGAGTAACAGTGAGGTATACTCAACATCATGCTGTTCCCATATTTATCACACTTCTCTAAGTCTTTTCTCCCTGTACTTTATTATTGTTTATAATTTAATAATTTGGGGTGTGTTTTTTGTGGCTTTAAATGTATGTCTGTCTTGTGGTTTTGAAAGTCTTATGTATTGAGCTAAAGTGGACACAGGGATAGTGATTACATAGTTGTATTGAAGTCCAAGTTTCAGGATAGCTGTGACTCAGAATAACTAGCTGTAAACTCTGGCAGAAAGTTTTAGTTTTTCTTCAACCCCTGTTGATCTTGATCCAGAAGTTGAGTTTTGCTTGCAATCTGTCGACATATCTGGCTAATTTGTATGTAGACTGTTGGTTCCTTGCCTGTCAGGCAGATGCACTCTGAATTTGAAGGAAATACTCCTAATTCGTCATTCCCCTATGACATTCTTGTTTTGATGGGGGGGGGGGGGGGGGGGGGGGGATATATTTTTTGTTCTTTAAAATGGAGCCCCGAAACCCACATAACTAGCACGGGGAAGACACTCTAATTTTCATTCTTTGTGTTCACTGGCTGTAAATTCTGGCAGAAAGTCCTGGTTGTTCATCCATTTGGACTTTTGGCTTTGTACCAGGGCCTGAGTTTTGCATGTAGATCCGTTTCACTTTCATATTCGTGTGCAGCTCTTGTTCCCTGTCTCTCTGGCAGATGTACTCCAACTTTGAGTGTAAAATTCTAATGAAAGGTATAATTTTACTAGGCATTAATGTTAACATCTCTGTTTTCTAAATAGTTTTCATAAATTTATACTTTTAATGAGTGCAGCATGTTACATTACAGCGCACAGATGAATATAGAAAGCTGAATCCCATGATGCAAGTTCCAACCCTTTACATAGATGGCCACTATTTAATCCAGTCTGTAAGTATTTTTCAAGTTGGAGAATGGGGTAACGCATCTGATGTCATGGTACTTAAATTTGTGTGACACAATGGTTTTGATTCAATTCAGTTTTTCTAAAAACCAAAAAAAAAGATTAACCGCATTCAGCCTACTGTATTTTTTTAAACCTTGATTATAATTGTAGTCTTTTGTTTGTGATTTGTGTATGTGTGTGTATTTGTGGCAGATGGGTCCTGCCTTGTAGTCATTTTATTTGTCATTCATGTTGGTAAGAGTTTTTACAATTGAAGTTTCCGCTGCTGTAAAATGACAAAATCCTCCTACCCCCTTTCTTTTCCTGAGTTTTAGCCTGAAAGATTTACACCAAGTGACTCGGTGAGTCACACTTCGGATGGTATTAAATAGGAGCAAATACTAGAAATCCTGTTCAGTGTTCAACTGTATAATACAGTTACATTGTGGCACCACTTGCAGTTCAGTATAAGTTGATAATTATGGGATATTTTTCCTAATGTCCATGCTTTATGACATTGGTGGTCATGTCTACCCACAACCTTCTGTCTTTGTATACTTTCAATCATTTCTAACATAGATGATCTTGCATACCATGATGTCAAACTGTCCAGCATCTTCTCTCTTGTGGTCTCCCTCTGCCTCTTTTCCCCTCCAACTTTCCAACCATCAGGACGTACTCCAATTTTCTCCCTCTCATTATCTGACCAAATACAGTAAACTATCTCGTTCTAATTTGGGCAGTCAAGTCTCTTTGTATGCTTATTTTTTTCAACATATCTTCGTTACTCTTTTTATTTCCCATGTGGCTCCAGGGTCCCATTGTGGGGAAACAGAACAGACCCATTGCCCACTAAAAAGTATGTCATAAGAGCGGTCTCAAGGCATGGCATCCGCGTTGAGTGCTGGAGGTCCCAGGTTCAGGCCCTGGTGAAGGCTGGGATTTTTTCACATGCACTTCTAGTAATTTCCCCTGGTCTCTGGGTAGTAAGATCGGACCCCCGTGTGTATTGCTGCGCACGTAAAAAATCCCTTAGCAGCTGGAAATCAAAAAGAGTAGCCAAACGGTGCTGCCCGGGCTAAATTTGAAGTTAAAAATCTTCCCAAAGTATTACAAGATCCTCGCTAGTGCTGCGGGGTTTGTGCATTGCACGGAGATTCTTTGGTCTCAGACTTAAGTCAGAAGAAGAATAGAGCACTTATGGGTTATCCCTTGTGCCATGATGTTGATCCATTGTCTAAACCTAAACCTAATTAGGAATGTTTCCTTCAAAGTTGGAGTGCATCTGCTGAGAAACGAGGAACCAAAGGTCTGCATACAAATGTTCTATCACAAGAATGTTGTATGGTTAAGTTCTGTCACAAGAATGTTGTATGGTTAAGTTCTGTCACAAAAATGATGTGTGGTTAAAGTCTGTAACATCATTGTTGTGTGGTCAAGTTCTGCTGCATGGAAAATTCTATCACTGGAATGCTGTGGGAAAAGCTATCACATGAATGTTGTGTCAATTAACTCTTTTGCAGGAATGTTGCATCATTAATTTTTTGGCATGAATATCTAATATGGTATGAATGTGTAGTGTTATTATATTTATCACACATGTCTGTAGATATCAGAAGTGCAGAATCAAATACAAAGGTCACCTCACTTGTAAAGGACTCTCCTTTTTCTATGCCAGCATCCAGCATGTGATGCTAGACTTACTTTTATCAGCCAGTCAGCAGTCGGTGGATGATGTTGTCAGCATCACGCTAGCCACCTTTACTTCCCAGGACATTGCCTGTACCCAATTTAGGCTGGGTCGACCTGAGAGCCGAGGTCAATTGTTTAACAAAAAATGTAAATTAACTTTTCTAAGTGAAGAAGTAATTGACCCTTTTATAGACTAGTATACCATTGTGTTAGAGAGACTAATATCCCATGATGTTTGTTTTCTTCACCATTCCGAGCCCTTGAGGTTCATTGCTGCAGATATCACACACCTCCACTTATCTCTGTGGTTGGACTTCTCTTCACAGTTGGTGACACCAAGTGTTTGTAGATTTGTCAGGACATAATCTCTCCATTGTCTTCTTGGTTGGCCTCATGGTCTATGACCATTCAGCTCCCTTGTGTATACAATTTTATCCTCCCTATCATCTGGCATTTTTTCAATATACCCCAGACATTTCAGCCTATTAGCTTTCATGATACCATGATGTTAGACTAATATATTCATCATGTTAGAGAGACTAATATACCATGATGTTAGACAGACTAATATATTCATCATGTTAGAGAGACTAATATACCATGATGTTAGACAGACTAATATATTCATCATGTTAGAGAGACTAATATACCATGATGTTAGACAGACTAATATATTCATCATGTTAGAGATACTAATATACCATGATGTTAGACAGACTAATATATTCATCATGTTAGAGAGACTAATATACCATGATGTTAGACAGACTAATATATTCATCATGTTAGAGAGACTAATATACCATGATGTTAGACAGACTAATATACCATGATGTTAGACAGACTAATATATTCATCATGTTAGAGAGACTAATATACCATGATGTTAGACAGACTAATATATTCATCATGTTAGAGAGACTAATATACCATGATGTTAGACAGACTAATATATTCATCATGTTAGAGAGACTAATATACCATGATGTTAGAGAGACTAATATACCATGATGTTAGACAGACTAATATATTCATCATGTTAGAGAGACTAATATACCATGATGTTAGACAGACTAATATACCATCATGTTAGAGAGGCTAATATACCATGATGTTAGACAGACTAATATACCATCATGTTAGAGAGGCTAATATACCATGATGTTAGACAGACTAATATACCATCATGTTAGAGAGACTAATATACCATGATGTTAGACAGACTAATATATTCATCATGTTAGAGAGACTAATATACCATGATGTTAGACAGACTAATATACCATCATGTTAGAGAGACTAATATACCATGATGTTAGACAGATTAAAAAACCATCATGTTATAGAGACTAATATACCATGATGTTAGACAGACTAATATACCATCATGTTAGAGAGGCTAATATACCATGATGTTAGACAGACTAATATATTCATCATGTTAGAGAGACTAATATACCTTGATGTTAGACAGACTAATATACCATCATGTTAGAGAGACTAATATACCATGATGTTAGACAGACTAATATACCATCATGTTATAGAGACTAATATACCATGATGTTAGACAGACTAATATACCATCATGTTAGAGAGGCTAATATACCATGATGTTAGACAGACTAATATATTCATCATGTTAGAGAGACTAATATACCATGATGTTAGACAGACTAATATACCATCATGTTAGAGAGACTAATATACCATGATGTTAGACAGACTAATATATTCATCATGTTAGAGAGACTAATATACCATGATGTTAGACAGACTAATATACCATCATGTTAGAGAGACTAATATACCATGATGTTAGATTGACTAATATACCATGATGTTAGACAGACTAATATACCATCATGCTAGAGAGACTAATATACCATGATGTTAGACAGATTAAAAAACCATCATGTTATAGAGACTAATATACCATGATGTTAGACAGACTAATATACCATCATGTTAGAGAGGCTAATATACCATGATGTTAGACAGACTAATATATTCATCATGTTAAAGAGACTAATATACCATGATGTTAGATTGACTAATATACCATCATGCTAGAGAGACTAATATACCATGATGTTAGACAGATTAAAAAACCATCATGTTATAGAGACTAATATACCATGATGTTAGACAGACTAATATACCATCATGTTAGAGAGGCTAATATACCATGAAGTTAGACAGACTAATATATTCATCATGTTAGAGAGACTAATATACCATGATGTTAGACAGACTAATATACCATCATGTTAGAGAGACTAATATACCATGATGTTAGATTGACTAATATACCATGATGTTAGACAGACTAATATACCATCATGCTAGAGAGACTAATATACCATGATGTTAGACAGATTAAAAAACCATCATGTTATAGAGACTAATATACCATGATGTTAGACAGACTAATATACCATCATGTTAGAGAGGCTAATATACCATGATGTTAGACAGACTAATATATTCATCATGTTAGAGAGACTAATATACCATGATATTAGACAGACTAATATACCATCATGTTAGAGAGGCTAATATACCATGATGTTAGACAGACTAATATACCATCATGTTAGAGAGGCTAATATACCATGATGTTAGACAGACTAATATATTCATCATGTTAGAGAGACTAATATACCATGATATTAGACAGACTAATATACCATCATGTTAGAGAGGCTAATATACCATGATGTTAGACAGACTAATATACCATCATGTTAGAGAGGCTAATATACCATGATGTTAGACAGACTAATATATTCATCATGTTAAAGAGACTAATATACCATGATATTAGACAGACTAATATACCATCATGTTAGAGAGACTAATATACCATTATGTTAGACAGACTAATATATTCATCATGTTAGAGAGACTAATATACCATGATATTAGACAGACTAATATACCATCATGTTAGAGAGGCTAATATACCATGATGTTAGACAGACTAATATATTCATCATGTTAGAGAGACTAATATACCATGATATTAGACAGACTAATATACCATCATGTTAGAGAGGCTAATATACCATGATGTTAGACAGACTAATATACCATCATGTTAGAGAGGCTAATATACCATGATGTTAGACAGACTAATATATTCATCATGTTAGAGAGACTAATATACCATGATATTAGACAGACTAATATACCATCATGTTAGAGAGGCTAATATACCATGATGTTAGACAGACTAATATACCATCATGTTAGAGAGGCTAATATACCATGATGTTAGACAGACTAATATACCATGATGTTAGAGAGGCTAATATACCATTATGTTAGACAGACTAATATACCATCATGTTAGAGAGGCTAATATACCATGATGTTAGACAGACTAATATACCATGATGTTAGAGAGACTAATATACCATGATGTTAGACAGACTAATATACCATCATGTTAGAGAGGCTAATATACCATGATGTTAGACAGACTAATATATTCATCATGTTAGGGAGACTAATATACCATGATGTTAGGTTTATGTTATGGCAGGCCAAAAAGTATACTATGACAGTTTTCAGCAAATATTGTTATTCTCTCATTACAGTCTCAATTCATTGGTTCTGACTATCTTAATTGGTTGGTTCTGACTATCCTAATTCATTGGTTCTGACTATGTATTATTGTACATTTCATTATGATTTCTGATCCCATTTAATATGTTCTCTACACTGTAAATTTTCAGCTGCCTATAATTGAATATCTAGAAGAAAGATTCCCTGAACCAGCGCTGCTGCCAAAGGATTCCTATGGAAGAGCTCAGGTATTTTATTTCTCAATAACTGTTTCTTTTTTGTGTAGGCATTTATTTTGAAGTTAAGTAATAGTGGGGAGAAAATGGTCTCACAGCAAATCTTCTATCCCATCAATGATGCAGACAGGGAGGAATGGAAAGTAAGAAGCAACAACAAAATTAATAATCTGTTTAACTAACCACTGATCACTGACATCATGAGGGATGATAGACTGCAGTGGTCAGGGCATATAGAGACTGTGCCAGATGACAGAGAGGCAAAAACTGTGTACATAAGGGAGTTTGAATAGCCATAGATTATGAGGCAGACCAAGATGACTGTGGAGAGATAATATCCAGGCAGACCTACAGATACTTAGAGTCACTAACTGGAAAGAGAAGACCAGTATGAATGGAAGTGGGGGATATCTGTAGCAATGAACCTCAAGGGCTTGGGATGCCTGAGTAGGAAACAATGCTATCAGATAGACTGTAGGAACAACAGCTTTCACCAAATTCATTGAGAAGCAGAATATCAAATGGTTTGGTCATTTAGTTAGAATGCATTGGGAAAAAAACCAGTCGACATCATCTAAATGTCAGTTCTCTAGTTTCATAAATTTGCCAGTTTAAAAAAATGGTCATTAACTTGAATGTTGAATGTTGAATTAAGAATCGACATCACAGCGCTTGGGACACCCCCATAAGCGCTCCATTTCCATCTTCAGCAGCAAGGAAAGAGTTAAAATTCCGATGGTACCAGTAACTGTCTAATTGTATTTCCGTCTCGCCTTTCTCCTGAGTGTCGAGCATGGGCCAGACCAGATCCCCTTGTAACTCCTCGCAGTGCGATTCTCCACAGACCGTAATGATCTATCTGTTCCTCGGCACTGTTCACTTGCTCCTAAAGGGCCCTCACAACATTCAGCCTGTCATACATCAGTTCACCACCAAGTGGTGCAGAACTGGCCAGTCTAGCTGCCTGCTCATTTCTCAACACACCGGCATGACCTGGAGAAAATATCCAAAGGATGCTAACTATGCGGGACCTCTGAAGTGATTCTTGCCACTCTGCATGGAGCATGCCTGTCTCCACCTTTCTCAGCATGCTCTGTGAGTCAGTTACAGTGACGACATGTGTATACAGCTGATTCTCAAGCCAGCAGAAGGCAGCAGTGACTGTCTCCACCTCCATTATCAAACTAGATGTTGTGCTATCATATGCCAGGCTTTGTTGCACCAAGCGACGTCCATTCGCCTTCACTATGAACCCCCATGCACTTCATCTGCCCCTCAACACAGAGCCATCTGTATATACAATCACATCACTTGGGCAGGAATTGTCATGAATCATTTGTTGAACTTCTGATTCTGCCGCGCCAGCTGGCCAGTCCCTGCATTAACTAAGTAATTGGTGCCACACATAAACTTGTATTCTGTTGCCTTGCATCCTGGTTATGATAACTCTGTTCTTTTGCTTCTTACTTGCAGCGCTAATTCATCTGGTCATTTAAGTTGATCTAGGCAGTTGCATTTAGACATTTTACTGCAATTTTGGGGTTGGTTTTCTGGCACCATTGCAGCTTTCCAGATGGTAGTATTCTTTTGTGGTTTTCTGGAACCATTGCAACTTTCCAGATGGTTGTATTCCTTTGTGGTTTTCTGGCACCATTGCAACTTTCCAGATGGTAGTATTCCTTTGTGGCTTTCTGGCACCATTGCAACTTTCCAGATGGTAGTATTCCTTTGTGTTTTTCTGGCACTATTGCAACTTTCCAGATGGTTGTATTCCTTTGTGGTTTTCTGGCACCATTGCAACTTTCCAGATGGTTGTATTCCTTTGTGGTTTTCTGGCACCATTGCAACTTTTCAGATGGTTGTATTCCTTTGTGGCTTTCTGGCACCATTGCAACTTTCCAGATGGTTGTATTCCTTTGTGTTTTTCTGGCACCATTGCAATTTTCCAGATGGTAGTATTCCTTTGTGGCTTTCTGGCACCATTGCAACTTTCCAGATGGTAGTATTCCTTTGTGGTTTTCTGGCACCATTGCAACTTTCCAGATGGTTGTATTCCTTTGTGTTTTTCTGGCACCATTGCAACTTTCCAGATGGTTGTATTCCTTTGTGGTTTTCTGACACCATTGCAACTTTCCAGATGGTAGTATTCCTTTGTGGTTTTCTGGCACTATTGCAACTTTCCAGATGGTTGTATTCCTTTGTGGTTTTCTATCACCATTGCAACTTTCCAGATGGTAGTATTCCTTTGTGTTTTTCTGGCACCATTGCAACTTTCCAGATGGTAGTATTCCTTTGTGTTTTTCTGGCACCATTGCAACTTTCCAGATGGTTGTATTCCTTTGTGGTTTTCTGGCACCATTGCAACTTTCCAGATGGTAGTATTCCTTTGTGGTTTTCTGGCACTGTTGCAACTTTCCAGATGGTAGTATTCCTTTGTGGTTTTCTGGCACTGTTGCAACTTTCCAGATGGTAGTATTCCTTTGTGCTATAGGGAGGCATGAAATCACAGCTCATGATGCTACCATTTAGGCTTGAGATGAAATCCCGCTATAGCACAAATCCTGGGCAATAGAGATCTTGTTGCCCATGCAGCATGATCCCCCTACTCCATCTACTTTGTTAACTCCAAAGGAAAGGTAACATAAATACATTTGAAACAAAGCATGCTGCAGAAGCTGCCATATCAGAAGAGCAGTGCTCTGTCTGCCCACCTGTTAGAATTTCACACCTAGACCACCTGCCAACCACGGCTAAGTGCTGGTCTGCCATGCCATAAAATACAATTTTCAGTCTGTATTTCCTTTCATATATACTTTTACTTCGAGTCATCCCCTTGTGAGATGCAATTTTTAGTTGTTTTGAAGACCCACTCTGGTTTTCGCCGGGGGCCCTAAATATAGCCAGGCCTGAAATATGGCCTAACGGCTGAACGGAGTTTCCAGTACTACTCCAAAGGTGATCCTCATCCGCATGGTGGCACTTTTGTGTCACCGAGTGTTTGTCGCTTGTGTGATATACTGGTGGGGTACAACTTACATACATACATACTGTATTTCCTTATCCTAGCCTAAGGCTAGTATCCTCCTCAATGCATTCTTTCACCTGAAGCGTTGGCACAAGTGGGATCTCAGGTCTGATATACGCTGCCCGATTTTCAACAATAACAGAAGTCAGGTAGTAGCAGTTGCTGTTATATGGTAGCTTAGTCATGTTTTATCAAGACCAGCAATGGCAGCAGCAACAACAACAACAACACCATTACACTAACTTAAATGAAGAATAAAGCTTACATTAACTTGAATAAAAGCTAGAAAATTGGCAGAGGTGCTTACCAGCTGACTGCACAGTAACATTTAAGCATGTAATGAGGATGTTATAATAATTTCACTGTAGGTGAGAGCACTGGCAGAGTTGATTAACAGTGGAATACAGCCCTTTCAGAACAATAAAACTTTAAACATGATCGGAGAGAAGTCTGATGAGTGGGCTAAACACCACATTGAATATGGATTTAAAGGTAATTGTTTTAGTTTATATATCCACTGGAATATGGATTTAAAAGTAATTTTATTACTTTATTTCTCCCACTGGAATATGGATTTAAAGGTAATTGTATTACTTTATTTCTCCCACTGGAATATGGATTTAAAGGTAATGGTATTACATTTATTATTTCTGAATATGGATTTAAAGGTAAATTGTATTACTTTATTTCTCCCACTGGAATATGGATTTAAAGGTAATGGTATTACATTTATTATTTCTGAATATGGATTTAAAGGTAATTGTATTACATTTAATATTTCTTAATAATGATTGAAAGGTAATTGTATTATATTTATTTTCTGAATATGGGTTTAAAGGTAATAAGTAAAGTAAAGTAAAGATCCCTTTTCACGCCTTTCGGCGCATCGGGCATATGGGAAGAGCGTCCCATATTTTTACAGACCATCAGCACTCTGTGGGTAATGTGGTCAGCATTACGACGGCTGTCTTTACTTTCCCAGGACAGCCCATCCTGGTACCCATTTTAGGCTGGGTCGACCTGCGACGTCCCATACCACGACAAAAAATCCACGCAGCCTTCAGTGGGTTTCGATCGCGATATGCTGGCTTACGAGTCGGACTCGCAACGCCTTAGCCACGGACGCCGCTTAAAGGTAATAGTATTACATTTATATCTTCTTTTCAACTTTTGACCTATGAAACACAACCATCTGCACTTCTGACCAAACAAAGTAAATAAAGATAATTACATTGTTATGGTAAAATAGTTGCTGGAACTGATGTACTAGAGTACACATTATGTATTTTTTACATTATTTACAAACATATATTGAATTTTAGTGCTGTTTGTACTCATGGCAGGTTTATAACTGTGTGCAGTGACGCTGGTTCACATCTCCCGACTTTGTATGCCTGATGTGCATTTGTGTGCATGTGTCTGTATACATGCATGTGTGCGTGTATGGAATCTAAGTATATCTGAATGTATGCATTTATTATCCACACTTTTATGTATTTTACTTGATATTTATGTTATGTATGTTCCCTTTGTGGGTTTCGCACAAGAACAGACCCACTGACAACAAGCATGTTGTAGAAGCCGACTAATTAGGAGCATCCTTTGAAGTCCATCTTCCTGAGAGGCAAGGAACCAAGAGTCTGCATACAAATAAGCCACATATACAAAACAGATGTACACGCAACACTCAGGTTCTAAAACAAGACTTAATCTGGAGGTGGACAACACACTGAGCTTTCTGCAAGAGTTTTCAGCCAGTGAATGCAAAGGAGAAGAAGAAGATATTATGTATATTGTTGAATGAACATGAAATGCTTTATAGATTAAATATGTAAGATGAGGTTTGTAAGGGCCAAATGTAAGACTGTGGGAGTTTGAAAATAAAATTTGTTCGTCCATTCAAAGTATTTTTGATATTGGAAAAAACAGTCAGCATCATCTCAGTGTGGATTCTCTAGTTTCGTGAGTTTGCCACTTTACAAAATGGCCATTAGTTAAGTGATTGATGCCACACATCAACTTGTATTCTGTTGTCTTGTATTTTGCTCATGATAACCCTGTTGTTTTGCTTCTGATTTGCAGCGCTGGAATCTATGCTGGAACAATCTGCTGGAATTTACTCGTATGGGGACATTGTGACAATAGCTGACATATTTTTAGTGCCCCAGATGTTTGGTGCCCACAGGTACATCTTTTACTTGAGGTTTTTATTATTTATTTACTTAAAGATATTTTACCAACATCATGTTATTTTTTTTTTTTTTAATGCTTTATTATATAAGTAAAATTTAGTTCAAGTATCCATTGTCAGACAAGAGCTGTAGTTATTTATTAGCTAGCATGTTTGCCTGCTTACCATCTGGTCGTGTGTTCAAATCCCATCGAAATGAAACAACTTGATTAATCTGGATCAGCTCACTTTAGGCTGATGTAGACCTTATCTAAAGTGCATGACGAAGAACGTGTGGCAGGGATCTTGCATGAGGATTGGTAAAACCAGCACAGAACCTGCTGGTGCCTGGGGTGAGATATGGAGTATCTTTATAATCAGCACAATGACTTTAACTTTCCCTGATACCTGTTACTGAAATCAGCATGCCAGATCTTTACAAACGATACACAAAACTCAGGTTATGGAACAAGGTTTATGTCCAAAAGTGGACCAAAAAAAACGGAACTTTCTGCTGGAGTTTACAGCCGGTGAACATGAAGAAGAAGAAGAAGAAGAAAGATAAGTTTACAATGCTGGCAGCTGTGGTAATTCAATGTTTATTATTTATTGTACCATAAATACATAGTGGTGGTAAAGATGATGTTACCATTAACTCATTTTCAGATTCAAAGTAGACATGACCCAATTTCCAACAATCACTCGCATACACGCTGCCCTTGTTGAATTGCCAGCATTCCAAGAAGCAGATGCATTTCAACAGCCAGATACACCAGAAGAGCTGAGAGTAAAATGTTCTCAGCACTCTTCTTTATGAAAGTGCAACTTGGTCTGCGTATTTGTATCAGGGTAAATGGCTAAATAGCTTTCACATGAAAGAATGGAAAGAGCAGGTATTACAACAGTTGGAGGGTGGGGATGGTAAGGAGATCTTTTTTGGTGGATTACTCTTGGGTAGAAAATGTTATCATCAGCCTCTGCTGTGACAGGACATGAATAATATAGGTACTGAGGTGGATTCATGAGAACAGTGCTGCAGACCATTTTGCATAAAGGGGTAGTACAGAATGGGAATAGGGATAAATTATTGCAGATAGTTTGAGAGCTGAGCATCTGAGACGAAGCACATTAAATACATGAGTTAACAACAATGGTCCTGAAATCCCATGCTCTAAGTGTGGAAGATTTTTCTCATCACAGCTGATCTTGCTGACGACACTTGCCATCTCTGCTGTGGGCGGATTTCTGAAACTCCATATAGCACAGATCACACTGCCATATGGAAAGATAGGCAGAGTCTGTGGTTTAGATATCGCAGACATGCTTCAAAATTCTGAGGTTCTGGGTTAGACATAATTCTGAGGTTCTGGGTTAGATCCAAGCTGCAGTCAGTTTGGCAGCAGACCACCTTGGGTTGGTTTTGACAGTGGTATCGAGTGCTGATCCTTCAGTGGGCACTGAACGTAAAATTGCCTAGTGAAATCACAAAAAGCCAAGAAATTCTTGAGGTTGCTCTGCAACATCTTGTAAAGGATACGCAGCTAACTTTTTTCTCCTGGAAAAATGGAAAGGTTCAACATGTCCCAGTGTGGATTTCGATCTAAAATCTGTACGCCAACAGGCAAACAGTCTAGAAACTTTGCTGCTGTGGTTCCCATAGGCACATTGATCTACACTAATCTACACAGACGGATCCGTTGTGCGCCAAAAAAAGAAGCGCATAGGCATTCACAGCACGCTCAGCGGGCAGAACAGTCAAAGAAGCCAACGGCGCCTTCTTCATGACAACCAGCAGCATGAAGATGGAGGTGATGACAGTAACGCAAGCGTTTGCCTGGCTGGAAACACAAAAATACACCCATGTTTGTATACTCAGTGATTCAGTGAGTATGATCCGGAGGGTTCAGGCAGGTTCGGTGCGAAGACAATTTTTTGAATCATTACAGAAGTCCACTGCGTGGAGTCACCTTTATTTTAGTTCCGGGATACGCAGGAGTTGATGGAAATAAAAGAGCTGACAGGTTGGCTGGATCCGCTATCACTACGGACGGTCAGCCTATGGATCATACTGATATTATTAATGCCCTCAGAGAAATGGGAATGATAGAGGACTTTGGTGGCAGTGAATCCACATCACTCGCCAGAATGGCAGACTTGGGAATTAAGATCGGCATAGCAAAAAACGAGACGCATACCAGACACGCCAGAAGACTTGTTAATCAACATAGGACTGGTACTATTAGCCATCAGATGTTGGGGTTCATACTGAGGGGAGGATCTGAGCACCTATGGACATGTCCAGAGTGCAATGATGATAACCCAGCTAACTAACTAACTAACTAACTAACTAACTAACTAACTAACTAACTAACTAACTAACTAAATAACTAACTAACTAACTAACTAACTAACTAACATTGAGTGAACTTCCAATATGAATGCATTTTCTTGTTGAACTGTTATAGCCTCTGTGATCACAATAGGTATTAAAAGCTAATGTATCTTTTGAATGTTTTGATTTTTTACAAAATTGACAATTGCAATAATTACAAAGGTGATTTGTTCAAATAAATTCACTATCTTACTTACTTAGTCGCTCCTCTTCTACCTTGGGGTGTAGAGGTTTGCCAGAGAGATCGCCAGACGTCTCTATCAGCAGTTTTCTTTCTGGCTTTGTTCCATTCCAGTCCTATGTCAGTCAGGGACTGTCGGATGTTGTCTTCCCAGCGCACCCTGGGTCGTCCCGGAGGTCTGGTTCCCTGGTTCTTAGCCTTCCATGCTTGCCATGGTGGCCGATTTTCTCCCATTCTGCACACATGTCGAAACCATCGTAACTGTGACTGATCCACTCGGGTTAGTAAGGGCTGGGTATCAAGATCTTGACGTATTGTCTGATTGCGGACTTTGTCCCTTCTTGTCACTTGGACCACCTTTCTCAGGTATCTCATTTCCGAGGCCTGCAGCTGGCTTCTGTCAGCTGTTGTCATTGCCCATGACTCACACCCATAGGTCAGGACTGGTACATAGGTAGAGCGGTAAACAGCCATTTTCGTCCTCTTGCCAATTTCTCTTTTGCTAAGAAACCCTCGGTTTATGGCCTGGAAGAGTCTCCCAGCAGCTGCTTTTATAAATTCACTATCAATTTGTTATATAGCTACAGTTCCTTCAGCACTGAATTTTAAATTTAAGTATATTTCTGTTGTTGAGAATAGTATTTTAATGCAATAATTGTCACGTTTTAAACTGAATTTTAAAAGAGCTTTTGTGCCATAAACTCATAATTTAATTTAATGTTTATTATATACAGAATAATTCTTTGCTTGTGTTGGAGATTTGTTTTTTTCATAAAAGTTTTCTTCTTTATCTTTTCTTTTTCTCCCTCTTCTTTTCTTCTTCTTCTTATTCTGCTTCTTTTTCTTCAAATGTGACTAACAAGACCAGCTCACGTTAAGAATAATCTTTCAATTAAGACCAGGGATGCACTTCCACCTCTATGGTCCCCTTCCCTCTCTCTCTTTCTCTCTCTCTCTCTATCTCCCTATCACTCCCTCCCCCCTCTCTGCCTGCCTTGTTAACACTAAAGGAAAGGTAATTCTAATACGTTTGGAACAAATCATTCTACAGAAGTTGTCAGATCAAAAGAGAGCAGTGCTCTGTGTTGATCACTTCCAAGGTCAAGGGTCTGGACTGCCCTGTCATAACATTAAGTTTCCAGGCTGCATTTCCTCATCCTAGGATAATGCTAGTATCCTCCCCAATTGATAAAACACCAGCACACATGGTCTATCTTCCGAATAACCATCCCAAATTATCGAGGCCGAAAATATACCCTAACAGGGCCTGAGTCACATGTAATTTGCAGACTTCCGGCGACTTAAATTGCGCACTTCCGGCAACTACCATGACCACCAAGAGTATCTCCCACGCCGCTACAGGCGACATATATTGGGGCTTAACTAGATGGCTGGGACTCACAAGCAGCAGCTACCCCATCTCCTGCAGCTTCTTTCATTTTATTTGCTTGTGAGTCCCAGCCATCTGGTTTAGCGGCGTGGGAGATACTCTCGGCGGTGGCGGGTTCGCAATTTACATGTGACTCAGGCCCTGTTAGGGTATATTTTTGGCCTCGGTAATTTAGGACTGTTATTCGAAAGATAGCCCACACATGGATACAGACGAAACATTAACACAGTAAAAAGATAAGTATGTCAAGTGGGAAAATGAAGTGGCTTGCGATCACCCTGGCATTGCAGATGATAATCATCATCATCAGTCAGCAGCTCTTTTACAGAACGTTGCTCTTTTTATAGCATGCATGAAAATCTCTCTTTCTCTAGCGTGTTCTCTGGTCCTACGTGCTTTCATAGAGGATAGAGAAATTCAGGAGCAATATAGAGTGATTGTGAGGAACAGGTACAATGCAATACTAAAAATACAATCTATAAACGATCAGTGGGAAATGCTGAAAGACTCCATCTACCAGACAAGCAAAGAGATTTTACCAGAAAGAAGACAAATAGCTAAAAAGAAGTGGATGGCTGAAGGTATTTTGAAGTTAATGGGTGACAGAAAACAATAAATGAATGACAAAGAAGAATCTGACAATATAAATAAAGAAATAAGGCATAAGTGTATGAAAGCAAAAGAAGATAAAAAATTGAACAGTCTTATTAAAGATGCAAAAAGTGTGCATAAACAATTTAGCGATCCAACCGGAAGAAAGATAAAACACAGGATGTCTGAAATCAAAAGCAGAAGAGATCTTAATGGAGGAAGATGATATAATAATAAGATGGAATGAATACATAAGATAGTTATATGATTGAAAGAGAGCAGAATTACCAGAAGAAAGAAATTTAGAAGATCTGCATATACTAAAGGAAGAAGTCAGCGATGCTATTAAACATACGAAGAAAGGAAAGTCAGCCAGGCCAGATAAAATTCAAGTAGAAGAATTAGAAAAACTGGGGGAATTTGGGGTAGAAATATTAACTAGACTAATAAATGACATTTATAACACTGGGTACAGTCCAAATGATATGATGAAATCTGTATTTATTGTGTTACCCAAAAGACCAGGGGCAATTGAGTGTGAAGAATTTCGTACAATCAACTGAATAAATCATGTCACCAAATTACTACTTAGAATTCTAATGAGAAGAACAAGAAAAAAAATAAGCATGGAAATGAGTGAAGAGCAGTATGGATTTATGGTAGGTTTGTTTGTTTTAGTATCCAGAAGCCATGAGTTGTTAACCCTTAGGCTCGGTATTATGGATATTGCAACCTTTTGGCCTTGATTCCATTGTAAATACCAAAAATCTGGGAGAAAATGTAGCTTTTCTGCCTACCCCCGGATTTGAACCCGGACCACAAGAAGTTCGTCACCCGGTCTTCGTGCAATCTGGTTTAGCCAACTACGCTAGAGAGCCAGGCATTTATGGAAGGTAAAGGGACAAGTAGTGCAATATACATATTAGAAACACTGATAGAAATATCAATGGACATACATACTTATATTTGTGCTTTATAGATTATACTAAATCATTTGACAAAGTTAAACATGAAGAGATGATAAAAAAGTTGGAAGATATCAATGAAGATGGGGAAAATCTCAGAATAATTAAAAACGTATATGTAACCAAGTAGCAGCAATTAAAGTGGGAAACAGATTGGATACTTTTGAACAGAAAGAGCCAGGAGTAAGACATGGATGTGTCTTATTCCCATACCTTTTCTCTCTCTATAGTGAAGTAATTTTCAGGGAAATTAAAGAGAAAGCAGGAATAAAAGTGGAAGGATACAATATAACAAATT